AGGAGATCAGGCTACTTAAAAGCTCCAAAACATGTATTTATGTCTAGGAAGATATATTATTGAAGCTGCCTTTCTGTGTTCTGGAGGAAGAACATTTTGATGACTTATTCTATCTTATAGATGTAAGATAAATTGGCATGAACTTTTGTGAAGAAAGGGTGTAAGACAACCATGGAACTTTAGCTCTGAAAGCAGATGGCATCTGAACTGTCTACCTTCAGAACTCTTACACTTAAAGCCTTCTGGGGAATGAAGTTGGTCAAGTTGGCATGGAGAACAATAAAGCATTTTGGGTGGAAAAGGAAAGAGGCACTGATGCTTGGAGTTTCAGTGTCATTACAGTGCTTTTGATTACTCAAGTGCCCCAGTCTGTGTACAGTTGGCAGTGAGAGCCATAGGAGACTCTTCAAGGACACCTGTAGGAGAAAAGGCTGGAACTGGCACCTGGAACACACCGGACCCTCGGTGGATATGGGAACCACTATCTCTAATCATCACAACTTGTGTGTTAGGATCTAAGCAGCTTCACTGAGGCTAGTGCATGCTTCATGCATTTGTCTATGCTAGAATGACCTTAAGGTCACTTAAAGGTTTTAACTAAAATGTTTAAATCTGCCAAAGTGTGACACAACCATAAATTGGACAGAGAGGCAGGAAGCTGTCTCTTCCCTTCCCCTGGAGAAGTCACTCTGAGAGCAGCAGTATGTGTTGGCACAGGCCAGTTCAGGAGTTGTTGGAGTTGGATTTATAAAATATTGAATTCCTTTTTAATTCAAAAAAAAATTTTTTAGTTGTAGATGGACACAATATCTTTATTTATTTTTATGTGGTGCTGAGGACCAAACCCAGTACCTCACATGTGTGAGGCAGGCGCTCTACCACTGAGCTACAAACTTAGTCCCACCCCTTGAATTCCTTTTTTTTTTTTTAAGAATAAAAAAGTACAGCCAGGCACAGTGGCGCATGCTTGTAATCCCAGTGGCTCAGGATGCTGAAGCAGGAGGATCCTGAGATCAAAGCCAGCCTCAGCAACAGGGTGAAGTGCTAAGCAACTCAGTGAGACCCTGTCTCTTAATAAAATATAAAATAGGACTGGGGAAGTGGCTTAGTGTTTGAGTACCCCGAGTTCAATTCCTAGTACCAAAAATAAAATAAAATAAAAGAATAAAAAATACAAAATTGCTATGGCCATGGAAGGAGTCCATGCAAGCAAGAGGCCCTGAAGTTTCCATTTGATTAGTTTCTGAGAGGAGCTTCTCTTCCTATTTTGGGGGACTGCTTAGCTGAGCTAAGATGCTGAGCTGGCCACCTTCCAGAGTAACATGGTATAGCAGAGAAGAGGTTTTCTAGGAGATAAATGAGGTTTCTTTTATCTCAGTGAAGTCTAGTAAGTATAAAAGATACTTAGTGAGTAGGGGAAATAGATACCCTTGTCATAAGGAAAATAGGGTAGTACTCAGTCATATCATCTGAATATTAGATGTTTCCTCTGTTCTAAGTTGGTAAAGCAGGACACACCCATCCATTATATGTTTCATCTCAATGCCTCTGAAATTAATGATGTTCTTGACAAATAATGGAAATTAATTAAACCACTCTAATAGCAATATCTCAATTAGTATAAAGGTGTTTCCATTAAGTTTAAAAGTACTATTTCTTCTAATATATTGTAGCTACTCCTTTGATTTCAGCTATTGCTTTTATGCTGAGGATGTCATTTTACAACTGAATACACGTCTACTGGGCCCATCTTCTCAAGGTATTCTGTCTTTATTTTCCCTTTTCCCAATTAATATATTCAATAGTTGGCCTACCTTTCATCCAAGATGATAGAAAAAAATCAAACTATTTTCCTATTTACACCTTTGTCTTCGTTTTTACCCACCTAAACCCAGGAGTAAAGGCCACTTGAATTCATCTCCTCTGTCTTTTCTATATATTGCCTCCTTATATTCAATGTCACTTTTAGATTCAAGACCCTTGCTAG